GTAGCTGTCACAGTTTCCCCTCAGGAAACCAAAACATGTCTTAACAGTAAAAATTTGTAGATGTTTCCACTCCTATGCCCAGTCACATGAATTACCTCCTCCCAATTCATGACCAAATAACTCTGTGGACCAATAGTCATTTATTTAGCAAAGTAAAATAATATGAACTATTACATGTTTCCACAATTCAGCATCTGGGAACGTAAAACCCATTGGTGCTTGCCCAGCTGGTCCTTCCGGGACTTCCACAAGTTTTGTACACACTGATGGTTTGCCAGTCACAGTCAGGGAACCAGTGGCTTACTTTGTAAACTGTGCATAGAAAAGACAGCTTGGATCCAAGCAGAAACAGCTTGGATCTTGGTGCCATTTATAGGGTTGAACTTGCTATTAGCACACAGTGCATAAATGTTAACAGGTGATAAAAATAGGTGTTCAGATAAAAAATCATATGTGATCTAGATCTTTTGATCCATTCGTGTTTTAATTTTCTTTCATGTTATTGGAAACTGCCACATGTTTCTGCTTTACTGAACATGCGTTTCTGGAATTTTAGGCTTTAGATAAAAAAGATATTTGGGCTTTTAGTAGGAATTCCAGAACTGCAGAATGGTGTGAATTTGAGATTTTTTTTTTTTTACCTCAAAAGGTAAGTAGAGAAGTGACTGATATCCTGTCCTTGTTTGAATATGCATTACATTTTCTGGCTGAGTAGCACTTTTATGTTGTAATTTTTGATAGCCAGATGGAACTACATTTTAAGGAAGAACAAATCAGAGGCAACAAATTAGGAAAGAACAGTGTTACAGCTGCATCAGAGGCCAGGATAAGAGCTCACAAGGCCATGTCTTCACAACCCTAGACATCTCACCTTGTCTTCCACTTTGCCATCTGTGAAATGTAGCTAAATGAATGTATTTTCTTTTTCCCACCCCACTGTCTTCTGCCTTGATAGAACTTGATTTTTTTCTTTAATTAGATCCTTTTGCTTCATGTTTTATCTCAGTAAATAAATTCTTCCTAAATTACTTTAATATCACCCCAATACATATCTCATTCTCTCCCACTGACTTTAATACTGGCTAGTTTGAGGTAGACTGACAGATTTTTAGCATTTCTTCATCACTACCTTCTCTTATTTTCTGTGAGTACAAGTTTCTGTATCATTTACTTCGAGGTGTTGTCTTATTCTTTTGTTCTTGCTTATAACTTTCTTTAAGGTTTTTGCCAGATATGTATGCACATTATGTTAAAGGTCACGGGTCTTATTCATTAAAAGTTCCATTTTAGAGGCTAATGAAAATCAAATCTTAGTGTAAAGGCTCATCAAATTCATAGCAGGATTCCTCAAAGGTTATGCTTCTTGTATCTGAAGTATGATGCCTATTCACTCTATTTCTTCCATAGGTTCAACTTTCATTAAGAAGTGGTATGATTGTCTTTTGATATCATCCTCAGGATTGAGACCTTAGTACTCTGTTCCACCAGCTTCATTATGCTAATGCTTTTCTTCTTTTCATCCCTGTTATACAGAAGTATGTCTCTAGGGCCTGGTTTTGCAGCTGTTGGAGGAAATTCCAGTTTCTATCCCTTTACATGTTATGGCAACGATATATATCTACAATGTAAACAGAAAAGCTAATGAAAACAAAGCAACCCAGGTATTCTGGCATTTCAACCCAAAACGGTTCAAAGTGTTTACTAATGCAATTTGTGTGCAGTGATAATACCATGAGTTGTCTATTTTATTGGTATTCTGGTATATGCATCCAGGTTCTCATAAAATTCCATAAACTGAAGTCTTAATAAGTCCTTGATCTTCTGACAAAGGTGAGATTTTCTTTACTAACGTACTGCAGTTTCTCATTCTGATGTTGGAAGTAAAGCATTCTTTTCCTCCTTGTTCTTCCATGCATGCTCTGATCTCTGATTATTTATAATATTGTTGTCTTCTTACTGATGACTTTTATTGATTATCTCAATGCTATAGATATCTTCAAGAACATCCTGGTTAGGTAAGTGGCTATTATCTTATCTTCATTTTATGGGTAGATATACCAAGTATAAAGCAATGGGCACTTCACCTGAAATCTGAGGAGAACCTCAAAAATTTTCAAGGAAAAAACCTTTCCATGAGAAATTTCAGATCAACACTTGTAGCAATTTTGTGATTAGAAGGAAATATCTAGATCCTAATCCTCAGCTATAACTAGCAATTACTCTTCTTCAGGTCCTTTCACTAACTTATACTCTGTCACCTATAATAACCAGCAGATTTTTGAATAGATATTGCTTTGATTTATTTCCATTTCGATGTGATTGCGCTTTCCTCTGGATTCTGAGTTTTCCTGTAGAGTGAATTAACTGATATAAGTTATTGATTGACCTAATACAAGGTGAATTTTATTCAAAAAGATGAGGGGTTTTGTGAGTTCCTAGTATATCTTGGTGACACTTCACTCTCTTTCTGGTGATCTTCTGTTCTCCTTGTGTTTGGAACATACCAAGTGTCATTCAGCTTCTTGGCTGAACAAGGCCAAGAACAGACTCAAGCTGTTTGTGGAAGTAAGACAGGGTTAGGAGAGTATTTTTTAGCAATTATATTAATGAATGGTTCACAGGTCAGTAGAACTCCAAGGCTCTGAGGAGGTAACTCTCAAACTACAGCAGAAACAAAACGAGAAAGGTGGTACCTTGAACTTGCTGGAAGGAAAATTTTCATGGGAGAGGACAGTTTCACATATGTGGATCATGCATGTTAGAGCAGCCCTTTGGCATCCTCTGTAGCTATAGTATGGGTACTCCGCTGCTTCAGTCAATATTGAGTATCACTTTTCAGTGGAGGAAAAAACACAGGATCCATTGCTTTCATTAAGACTTCATTGGTAGGGAGACTTAATTGTTTGGAAACAAGGAGATGGTTGATAACTAAAATATCAAGATAGAAGATAAATTTTCTTTTTAGCGCTTCTAATGATCAGGAGAAGTGGAAACTGCTGCTTGGTACATGATCAACTGCCAAACATTCTTTTCAGTTTGGATGGTTTCCATTTATTTTCTTTCTTCTTTTTTTCTTTTTTTTTTTTTTTTATTAAGCTAGAGATTCTCTGGGCACTGGACTTCACTTTGGCTTTTAGCAGCAGACAGGAAAGATAGGAGATGGTTCTGCTGAGGTGGAGATGATGCATTGGGCTGTAGAAGCAGAGGAGACCAAAGAGGGAGGCAGGCTGGTTTTGTGAAGTTGAAAGATGGTACTACAGCTTCCAGAAGAACACGTTAAATCCTTTGGTAGAAAGATCTGGTTCTTTCACTAAGTTTAGAGAGCTTAGGGGAAAAGAAACCACACAACACAAAAATACCCACTAACAAACCACAAAGCAAAACAAAAAATCCCACATGTGAGTGCAAGAAGCTGCTCAGGATGGGAAGCAGGGAGGGAATTCCAGGTATCTTTGTGGCTGGGAAGGGTCTGAGGTCCAGGACCTAGAAGGCTTGCCAGCATGCCCACTCCTGACCTATCGCAAAGATCATATTTTGTACACAACCAGGCTGATACCTTTTCTTTGTGATAGAGAAAAAGTAAAGCTAAACATCTTTCCTCTCTTCACATCCACAGAGGAGAACTACAGAGAAATGCAAAGCATTTAGGGTGTGTTTGGGAGGGAAGAGAGTAGCTGACCATCCCTTCCTTCTGCAGTGGACCGTGGCTTGTCTGAAAGTTCTCAGGTCTCGAGTGACAGACGATAGTTTAGGTGTACACACCTCTATCCTTAAACTCCTGTGTCACCTAATGATTTTAGTAATACAGGATGAACTTCATTACAGTTCCTCAAAGAAGGTATGTTGTATGGCTGGCTCTTTGTCTGGGGTCTTTAGGTGTCTTGACCTGTCCTTGGTATAAGGTCTTTCCCTACTGTGGTATTTCTCCACATCCTTCTGGCATCTGAGCTGCTACTACTGTAAAGGCCAGCTTTCCAGATGTATATAGTGAAAAAGTGATTTAGGCTGGGTTTTCCTTCTAGGTCTGAAGCACAACATCTTTCCCAGTCCTGGGAAGATGGATTTGTGGCTGGTGTGCCAGAGATATGTGAATGAGAATGGATCTGCCTACGTCTACCAAAGCATGTGTGTAGTCATTTTAAAATGCCTAATCCATTTCAGCAAGCCTGACAGTGCTTATGATGTGATCTCATATAGGTGTGTGATGTCCCCCTACCTGGGTCCTGCTCTATCAGTACCAGTAGTTGGCAATGGCATTGTCTGCCTAAGAGACAGGAGCAGACAGCCTTACCTCATTGATTGCAGTTTATTGACATTAGGAAATTCATTGTCTGCAAAAGAAGTTGGTAATAATTAAGTGAGTTAATAAATAAGGAATGTGTGTGTACAGATTAGACAGTAAATAACTTACTGGCTTCTTGATTGCCCCAGAATTTTGCTTCTCTCTTCATGCAAGGTGTGGAAAGGGATGATGGTGGGCAGAGCATGGTAGGGCATTCTCACCTGGGGAAGACAGTCCTATAAACCTTGGCTTTCCCTCGGGTCCTGGCGTGTGTGTCTGAGTCTCTCCCCGGAGGTGGGGAGGTTGTTTAATGCTTTTAGTGCCATTTTCCAACAAATGAGAGATGTGTTTAAAAATAGCAACAGCCCTTTGTGCTTGCCTTTTTTTAGTCATTTTAAGAAAGAGCTGCATCCCTTTGGCTGGGAGACGGGGAAGACGACCTGATCTTCAAGGTCCTCATTAGCTCCTCTGGGACGGTGGAAGGGCTCCTGGTGCCCTCCCTTCCCCTGGCTGCATGTGTTAATTGACCCCTCTTCGCACACTTGGTGGCAAGAAAGGTCGTTTTAGAGATGTGTTTTGCTTAATGGGAGCAGGGAAAGGTGTGGTGCCTAAAGGGAATACCTCTCTTGGCCAGATAAACCCTGCAATTGTCAGCAAGACAATTCTCTTTTGTCTGGCTGCTATTGATGCCTGGGTTTGGGGCAGGGGGCTCGGGGTGGGGGGAGGGAGTACGAGTGTATGCCTGTGTGTGCCACTCTGCAAGCTCAGGTTTAGCCATTTGCGTACAGACTATAGCAGCATTATAATTTTTAATTGCAATTTCATTTGATATTCTCTCCCTTTCCCCCACCCTTTTCCCTCTCTCTGTATAATCTGGATCATTGCTCTCTGTAGCTGATTCCGTGGGAGACCAAGCAGAGTGCGTGGGTGCAGAATATAGAAAGCCAGAGCCATAGAATCTGTTATTTGCGTCATTCTAGGAGACGGGGCTGTTTGCCTGACAAATATACAGAATTAATCCTGGTTTTATCAATATCTGTCTTTTGCTACAGTAGCCAAATACAAGTGTAAGGTGGTAGGGGGACTTGCTGCTGCTGTTGTTGGTCTCTTGTGGGGAGGGGGTGACAGGGGAAAAGAGGAGGTAAGGATGCTAAAATGTATTCAGCTCCCCCGTGCTGTTTGCCTTACAAATATTCAGAAAACAGACTTATGTTTCCAAATTTCTTTTTGTTAAAATGGGTAACCACGAGAAGGGAGATGGGGGGCGGGGTGGGGGCGCGGGGGTAATGTTCTTGCAAGGTCTGGCTATGCAGATTGCTCTCCCTGCCTGTGCTTCTGCATGGGATATGTGTGTGTTTTTTAAGAAATATCTCCCTGTCCTCATCGCATACTCCACCCCCCACCCCCCCGACCCCAAACACATATATGAACACCCCTCAGGATTTTTGTGCAACTGTGCAGAGAGCTGCACTACACAAAATATGGGGCTTGCTAATTAACTCTTTTCCTCGAATTGAAGTGCCTTACTGCAAGCACAAAGCTCCAAGCACAGACATCTTTTATGATGAACTAGAGCCTCTGAAGAGGAGAATCTGAACGTGACGTCAATAGCTGATAACTGACGCAGCCTTGCAAAGGAGTCTCAGGCTGGCTCCTTGCAGCCTGCAAGCCCTAATGATTCTATTTTTTCCCCAGTCCCCCCTCGTAGTGAATTACTAGAACGCAAACACACACACCCCTTTTTTTCATATATGTATTTATAGATCCTTTATTCTCCAAACAAAGGATTTTTAAGGGGGGGAAAGGCACTGGGTGGGGAGGGGAGAATTTTATAAAAAAACAACCTTTCTTCGTGCTGGGTGCAATTCAGTACATGAAACCACCTCTGTCTCTCGGCAAAGCAAGCATCCCTGCCTGAAATCCACATTTGTGCATGATGGCAAACTGGTGCATGGTGGTTGTGTTTTTTCCAAAGCCCACTTTATAAAGACTCCGGAGGAAGGCAGACACAATAATGATTGCAAGGCAACAGGCAGAGAGGCACAGAGACAGACTCAATACAACTGTGGATTAGGGGTTTGTGCAATAGGACAGCATGGAAGGCGGTCAGTTTGGGTCGTTTGGTGTGGGGTTTGTTTGTTTGTTTTTGTTGTGTGGTGTTTTTTTTTTCTCTGCAATGATACACCTAAAGCAAATGTGGATGATGTTGCAGAAAGAAGCTGGGGTAGGGGGGTGCGTGGTTGGGGGTTTTGTGTTGTAGGGGGGCAGGCTTAATGCACATTTAATGTTTTGGATGTAGCGTTCCAGCGAAATGCCTTTGTGTGTGGATTTTTTTCCCCAGTACCTGCTAAAAATAGCATCAGGGTTTTGATCGCGTTCCAGAAATAGACAGAGGGTTGCACTTGTATAAAAAGCGAGCGCGGGTGGAAGAAAACCTGGACATCACCGCAGTATTTTTTTTCCAACTCCTGTCTGGAAATTAATTGTTGGATTCCCCCCCTCCCCTTCCTCGCCCCTCCTCCCCTCCCTCCCCTAACCGAGGAGTTCCCGTTTGGGTAAGTAGTGATCTTTCCTGTGCATGGTGCAGAGAGTGGCTGTGAGTCTTGTCTTTATTTTATGCATGCCTGGATTCATTTTTCCCTTCCTTTCTACTTTTCCTCTAAAGCGAGAGGGGTATACTCCTCTACATAATGAATTTGGTGCATGCCCGGAGCCCAGACACGGGGAATTCTTGCAGAAAGGGGAATCACCCTGTCGGTAAATCTCTGAATCAATAGCGAGCTGCAACTCTCTCTCTCTCTCTGTCGGCGCTGTTGAGCCCCTCTCCCCGCCCGCCCCCCCCTCTATTTTCTCCTACCGAGGGGGGAGAGGCAGGGCCGGCAGCGGGGCCGGGGGCGCGGGCCGGGCGCTCCCCACAGGGCGGCCGCTCGGAGCTGTCCGCGCCCCGGTGCTGAACCCGCCGCCGCCGCCGCGGGCGGGGGTCGGTGCCGGCCCCGCTGCCGCCGGGCGGGGGCCGCGCAGCGCCGCCGGCAGCGCCGCTCCCGCGGAGGCTTCCCCGCCGCCGCTCCTCCGCCCGGCGCCGCCTGCCCTTCCCGCCCGTGCGTTTGAAAGAGCCTCTACCTGATGATGGTGCTCCGCAAAATAAGAGGCTATAGGTTGCTTTATTTGGACTCACCCCTTCTCCTCCCACCTCATTTTCCCCCCCTAAGTGCTCACACTTTCTGCAGATCGTGTGTGTGCGAGCGTCTGTTTTTATTATTGCCCGTCCTTCGCGTCCTTAGTCATATCTTCACCAGAGGAGTTGGTGGAATGACTGAATTAGAGGCGAAGTAGTGGGGGATTGTTGTGGTGTGTACGGAGTAGCTGTGTAGGGTTACCTCGGTGCTGCAACAACCCGTCATCCCCTCACCGCTTCTGGGAGCCGGGGAAGTTCTCGCTAGGCTACGAGCATGCAGGTTCGCAGGCATTCCGGCTACCAAAGACATGTCATCAGACTGCATTAAAAGGGACACGGAAACACCGTCCGGCACTCACATGCACCACCGCGTTATCCCGGACAATGGTATCCCCTCCGAAACCGCCGTGGAAGGGGGCTTAACTGCAGACTCAGACCTGCAAAGGGTGGAAAACGCACGAGGCAGACAATAGCCAAGGAAGCAGCTTCCCCCGGAGCACGTTTAGCCATAGTCTCCCAGTAAAAGCAAGCTTAGAAAATGGTGCACCTACCACACAAAGCCCAGCAACAATTGCGGATCCTGCAGACAATGGCATGATGCAGCCATGAACATCAGTATAGCACAGCACACTGGGCTGGGGTGAGAGCACCTCCTGGCCAAGACTGCATGCAATGGCTCTAATCTAGGCATACAAAAGACATAATTTCTTGCAATTAATCAAATACCAGCGCCTGAATTCACAGCACGGCACTCCACCCACGGCTCCCCTTAATGTCTAAACCGTCCCTTCCCCGAGTTTGCGTGGTCGTATTTACAAGCAGACCCAATATCTATTTTGCTTGTTTGGTTTTTTAAAGAAAAAACCCCTTACAACACGTGTAGCCAATCATTGCAACTCTTAATATATCTCTACAAAACAGGCATTAGAAACAAGAAATGCCCTCCTTCCTCGCCCCCTCCCTCGCCTTCCCAGCCCTCCCCTCCTAGATCGTTTCCTCACTTGACACAATGCATAAGATTACCCTTAACTGGATCCTATTAAATAATTCAATGGTGGCGGTGTAATTTTGGTTGGAAACTGCACGGATTTCCAAGTCGTGACTGTAAAAGTGAGTAATGTGCTCTGGCTGCGTCATGGCTCCAGTCACAGATGGTTCCAAACTGAGGAGAAATCGTGACTTCGACTTGAGACGTCCCCTCTCCATGAAAAGACCATCCAATCACAACGGCGTCGGGGGGCAGCCGGACTCCGCGGAGCTCGCTTTCTCCTTGCTCTCCCGTCCGTGTGTGTGCGTGTGCGTGTGTGTGTCCGTGTGTCCGTGCCTGCGCGCGTGTGTGTATAAAATCCTCAACAAGTTGCAGAAGGGGTAGGGAGAGGAGGGGTTAATCCCGGGGAATCTTCTGCACCTAGTGAGATCGTGACCCTCCCACACAGTACAGTAACTTATATACACACCTGGAGGAAGGGACGCTTTGCTTTTGGGCTTTCAAAAAAAAAAAAAAAAAAAAAACACCACCAAAAAACACCAAAACACTGTTGGTGATGGTTTCACCCTGCGCGGGACTCCCCGGAGCGGCCAGGGACGCGCCCCGCCAGGTAAGTGCTGGGGGTTTTCAAACTTCTCCTGCCTGCGCTGCCCCGGCTGCCCTGTGCGTCCTGTCCGCGCTGCGCTCCGCTCCGCTCGGCCGCGCCGCTGCCGCTGGGCTCGCCGGGGGCTCGGGGCGTCGTTCCGCCCGGCAGGCGGGAGCGTCGGGAAGGAGCCGCGGCCGTGCGGGATGGGACGCGCGCGGGGGCGTCACGCGTAGGTTTCCCGCGCCGCTCGCGCGGGACCCTTTGCCGCCGCGGGGCAGTGGTGGACCTGCAAGTTGTAGAGTTTGGGCCGGGACGCGAGTCCCCTCGGTCCCCTGCGGGTCTCAGCCCCAACTCGTACGGGATCCCGGCGGGCGGGCGGGCCTCGACGCGGACGTGTGTTTGCCGTGCTCATGTTGCCGACGGGCACTGGCGGGGCCTTTGGTTCCCCGCGGGCTTTCAGGAGAAGACCTCTGGAGTTCAGTGACATGTCCTGGAAACTTTTAGCAAGTGGGTGTCCTCGCCGGCAGCGGTGACGGGTGGCTCAACGCCCAGGACGGAACTAAGGAGCGGAGGGGAGGGGACGTCCCGCGTCCCCCGCCGTCCCCCGTAGGGTCGCCACTCGGGTCTGGCCGGCTCCCCGCTCTGAGGCGAGGGAGATAGGAAAGAAGGCAGCGGCAGGTCCCCCGTGTCCCCGGCTGCCCGCCGCGTGGTGGCGGACGGCCCGGGGCGCCCCTGCCGGGGGGAGCAGCGGCTCTGCGCCCGGGGCCCCCCGGGGCGGGGCTGATCCTTAGCTTAACGGCGCCCCTGTGGCAGAGGATTCCCGGAGAGGGGCTTAGGGAGCGGCAGAGGCGAGAAGGGGTCTGGGCTGGCGCGGTCGCGCTGTCGGACGTGCTCTTGTCGTGGATTTGGTGACTAATTGAACATGGAGAGGGCTTTTTTCCCCCTTTTTTCTTTTTTTTCCTTCCTCCTTCCTTACATCCATCCATCCATCCTTCCTTCCCTCCCGCTCTCCTCTCCTCTCCTCCTTTCGGGAGAAAAAGAAAAAAAAAAAAAAAAAAAAAAAAAAAAAAAAAAGGAAAAAAAAAAAAAAAAAAAGCCGAGCGAGGCAGTGTGAGGCGCCCGCTGATTGGTGGGTGACGATTTTAGCCCGCACCAATGAGCGGCCCTCCTGCTCTCTATTTATTTAGCGCTCAGGGGGGAGAGTTTTCTCTTTACGCAGCGCCCGTGCCCAACGCCGGAGCCTCCTCGCGGAGCGGGGCCGCGGACACGCCGCGCTCCCCACGATCCCGCGGCCCCCGCCGCCGGCCCCGGCCCCGCCGCGGGGGGGTGCGGGGCGGCGGGACACCCCCTTCTCCCCCGCCGCCGCCTCCCCCGGGGGGGTCCTGGGTTTCGGAACGGGACTTGGCGGGGATGGGGGTGGGGACCCGGCGTGGCGGGGGATGGCGGAGCCGATCGCCCGTGGGTCCTGTGGATGTTGTGGTGGCAGCCGGATGGATGGATGTAGGAAGCCGCGGGAGACTTTGTCCTTCGCGAATCTTTTTGCGGTCTGGGCTTGCTGTACATAACTACCTACCCGGGAAGCCCTTACCCCAAAAAGCATTCGCGGAGGGCGCATTCGCCGAAGGAGCAGCAGCTGCGATCGCCGAGCCTTGGACTTATCTAGACTCTGTGGGCTTCTATTATTAATTCCTGGCACCTTTCCCTTTCCCCCGTCCAAACCGCCCCCCCCTCCCGCCCCCCTCCCGCTGTGAGTGTATATATGTGTCTCTGTAGATATATATGTAGTGAGATAAATAAACACCCTTTCCCCCCTTTCCTACTCTTCTTGGTCCCCCCAAACGTTCAAATATTCCCTATCGCCTAGTAGCCTAACTTTTTAATCGACTTTTGCCTAAAGGAGCAAATCACACGTTTATTCGGATAACTGTATGGTAGTTTTTATTTCATTTATGGAAAAATAAAAATAGGATAAAACTTCCTAAAAGTTCTCCTACCCTCACCTTTCCCCCTCCCCTCCTTCCAGGACATAGCCGTGTTTGAAAAATATGGGTGTCCTAGTTGATCGAGATTAATTCATAAAAAAAAAATTCTTCGGAGCGATTCATTAAATACTTTGTAATCGTGAGCCTCGGCTTATTTCGAGGTGGGGAGGGTGGGATTTACTGGGATCACCCCATAAATAATAGGGAGGGAGGAGGAGGGGGAGGTGCACGGATCCGCCGCGGTTTGGGGGAGACCCCAGTTAGCAGGAGATGCACCATGGAAGCGCTTGCCAAAGGCGCCTCCCTCCCCCCTGCCCACTTCCAACCTGATTTTAAGCAACTTGCAGTCCGGTGATCTCTCCGATCACTCTTTCCCCAAAAACTAATGCCCCCGAAAAGGGTAAAAAAGGCAGAATCCGAGGGAAAACCCAGCCGAGGCGATGCTTTTGGACGAGGTGATTGCAAGCGAGCAAAGCAGCATCAGCACCAGCTCTGTGGTTCTGAAACTGCCTTGTGCATGCACACAGCACTGAGAGCATCTCAGGCAGGAGTTGGGGAAGCTGCATTTTCCCTCTCTTTGCAGTAATTACTAGCCTGGATTCCGTGGGCAAGAAATAAATAGCAAAGAGAAATCCTCCCTGCCTGCCGCCCCCCGAAAGAAGGAGCGATTAAGAGCAGATCTGTCCGTGCAGATCAGCTTCGTGAAAGAGACAAGATCTGAGCAGCAAGTTGGTAGCAGAGTGGCCGCTTGACGCAACACAGGGGCCTGTAGTTCTCCCGGCTGTAAAATAAAAACGAAGGGGGGGCGATCTAATGTCTCAGCTGTTAGAAACTACAAGGGCTGTCCCCTCTGTTCCCCCCCCCGGACAGCAGCACGGAGGGAGATCCGGCTGAGAAAGGGCTGATCTTTGCATTTCAGGGAAGCCTGCATAGGAGAGATCGGACGAGGACCACAGTCGAGGTTAAGAGTTAATATTTCTCGAGAGATAAAAGAGATTTTGAAGACCTGCTTGCACTTTAGAAAAGAGTAAAAGGCCTGCTAAGGGATAAGTGAGGAAAGAAGGCAAAGAAAAAGCACCTCATTGCTCCCCTCCCTCCTTTCCTTCTTGCTCAGGACACGTAGCTTGAGCACTAGCTGGCTTGATGAAAACAAAGGTGGAAGGGTCACAATATCTTTCAAGTAGATTCGCATTTTCATAATTATTTATCCTCTTCTATTTAGAGAAAAAAAAAGACATTTGTACTTTCCGGTCGCCAGCAAACGTCTTTACGGGGTTTTTATTCATGTGAACATAATCTAAAGGGAGAGACAAGGTAGTAGAGGGAACTTGGAAAAAAAGAAGAGGGAAGTGATAAGAGGGATCAACCAAGCTAAGGCTAAAAAAGCATCCTGTATGTTCCCTGCCTACAGTCGTCCCTCAAGAGGATGGAAAGCAGCAGTGATTTGGGGGGGCAGCTGAGGCGCGAGTGGAAATCCGAGCCACGGTGGTGCAGCTCCACGTCTCTTTACCTTGCCAGCCAACTGTTGCTGCCATGCTCAGGGCTGCGGCTGCTGCGGGCGGAGCGGGAGCCGCTCCCTTCTGCTCGAGGGCTGCCCCTGGCCGGGCTCCGCGCCCGCCGCAGCTCTGCGGGGCGCCTGTCCCCAGCCGTCCTGCCCCGCTCCCCTCCCTGCTCTGCCCCTCTCCCTGTCCTCGCTCCTCGCAGGTCCCTCTCTGCTGCGGGACCACTCACACACGTCGAGTGGTCGGCACCGCTGCCGCTCCACCCTCGGCCGTCCAAGCCCCCACTCCCGGCAGCCCCTCCGGGAAGCCCCGGGGAAGCCCCGGCCCTTTCCTTCTCCCGTCGGGCCCTCGCCTGGCCCTGCCAAGGCGCGTCCCGGGTTGGCCTCGCCTCCCCCGACGTGCTGTGCCGGGGCTGGGCCTGAGGCAGTCGGAGGGTCTCCGCTTGGTGCTCTGTGTATATGTGTGTGTTTGTCCTCTCGGGTATCACGGACGCCCAGGTGGGGCCGTGAGCCAGTCTCCGCTCCCCTCGAGGCTTCAGGGCAATCCACAGCCAGGTGAGTCGGGGAGGAGCGGAGACCCCTGCGGGAGCCACCCCCGACCTGGATAACCCTCCTTTTCCCTCTGCCTTTCTCCCCAGGTGCAGACACGCCGTCGAGGCCGGAGGCGCCGTGGGAGCAGCGGTGGACGCAGGCAGGTGAGGGCAGCGGCACGACGGGCTTCCCCTACACTTCCCGGGGTTCCTCACACGGGGCCCTCCGGAAAGCCTGGGAGCTGTCTGGGTTCCCAGCTACTGCCATTCCCTTAGACCCCGGTGCTTGTGACAGCCAGGCTTGGCCTAATACAGCCTTAGGCCACAGCTCCTCGGGGACCCCCAGCACTGACAGGGCTCAAGGCAGCACCTGCAGACCCCGAGTACAGGCTAACACCTCTCATCCACACGGCAGAAAGCCCAGGCTGGTGGAAGGGAGGTCAGGTCATTGAAAGAGGAGGGGAAATCCAAGTAAAGTTGATATAAATTATATATAAACAGACCATCAAAGTGATTTCAAATGAAACCTGTCGTCGTAAGAAGGTGGGGAAGGAAAAAGTTAGTGAGTGTTGCCTGAAATCTGTTTACTTACCTCATCTTTCCTTCTTCATTTGCTAGTTAACACTCTTCCGCTTCATAGTTAAATGCAATGTCCGACATTTGCAGTTCTTGTAGCTTTTGTCTCGTAGGGTTTTTTTTTCTTTTTTTTTTTTTTTTAAATACATGATCCTTGAGACAGGTAGTATAATTTTCTGCCTACCACTATAGTCGTGAGGTAGATAATCAACAGACAAATTAATTTATAGCACGTATTTTAAAAGCAAAAGGACCCCGCCCCAGTAAAACAACCAAACATATCCTTTTTTGATTCATTTTTAGCCATTGTACCCTGCTCTGTTTCCAGACGTGGCAGCTTTGGAGAAAGACAAAATACATTCCAGTTACAAAACTAAAAGTTTATAGACAAGTAACTACATCAAAGTCTTTTTACATTTTTAATTTTATATTATTTTTTTGTCTGTTGAATTTTAAATTCAATTTTTGAGTAAATGAAATTCATAGGAAGGCTTTTTGCGAGAAGTCCATTTTTGTCTTTTCATTCTGGCATCTAATTTCTCGGTGGCCGTTATCTGCCCACAATGTGCCATGGATGATTTGCTATAAAACCCACAAAAATATCTTCCTTCAGAGAGCTGCCATTACGGGCAGATGTCTTCAGAGGCTGGGGGCTCTGCTGCCACCTGACTTAGGTCAAACACTTCATTAGGACCCGTAAAGCTTAGCAGCAACTGGTATCAGCTCGTTTACCACCAAAGTAGACAAACTTTGCATATTTAAAGGTATTGAAGAAAAGCAGATTCTTAAAGCTAAAGGTGGGTAAGGCCTGCTAGAACCTCGCATACATGCACCTCCTAAACCAGCATTTAATCTGGCCCAAAAGAGAATTTATCAAACACTAAACTAGTTCTACTCTTGAGGTTTCTTAAAAGGTCAAGGCATACATTGATAGGAGCAGGGGGTGAGTGCATGTTAATTTACGTCTGTTACTGCACTTGATACAATTATATAAAGGCTAAGGGCCTATGAATAGAATTGCTACTTAAGGCTCTGAGGCTCCTGTATTCCTGTCAGTTAAAGGCTGAGATTTACCTCCAACCATCTGTAAAAAATTGCTTTGTGAATATGGGCCTCATGAAATCATGATTAACCCTCGTACCCTCCCCTCCTTCTACTGTCCCTCTCCCCTAATTTTTAATAGTATTTGGATCTTTTACAGAGTATCTGCACATCAGTTCTCATTCTTTCTCTTTTAGATGTGTTACTACAAATATATTTGGCTATAATATCTGCATTAGCTGTAGTATACTGTCATCTCATTTCTGGCTATAGAGATCACTCTTATAAAGGACTCACGTAAATTAACTTTTATTTTTGTTATTATATTTTCAGACAAGTTTTGTAGTGGTTATTTTTTGTGTAACTTTCAATACATATCAACTCTTGTTAAAACAATAGATGTTTTTAAATATACTTCTAAAGGAGCTTTTTCTAAAAATTGAATACCTTTTGGCTTTTATACTACTAGGTATGCCCCAGCTTCAGCAGGGCAGGTTAATTTGATTGCTGTCAGGTTGCCCCCCCCCCCAAAAAAAAAAAAAAAAAAAAACACCAACACCAAAACCAAACAAGCCACAAACACAGAAAGTTATTATTTCTCTTTCTTTTTCTAAATATTTTATGGGCACTACTTAGGGAGCACTAAATACAGTTTGTTGACTCTCTGGCAGTGTCCACACAAGTCTGTTTTATTATCACTGGTTTAGCATGACCACTGGAACTGTTCCGATTACCAGTAATGCAGTTAGCAGTGCTTACAGCATGTTAGCTGCCACTGCATTTATCTAATGTAGGGAGTGTGAGAGTGAAAACCCCAATGGAGCCTAATTAGCAGTAGACATGATAGGAAAAGCTGGCAGATTTATGGTACTGCAGACGTGATAAGTAGTCTGGGAGAAAATGTAGGGTGTAGACTCACCAAACTTCAGAGAGGAGCACTACAGCAGCCAAACTTAGTCTGAAATGATGCTATGCTGTTTCACTTTAATTTCTGTTTGTAAATATAATCCATTTCCATTTGTAAATATAGCCATGAAAGAGCATCATTGTCCATGGACCTTGTTTGGAGCAGGGAGAAGAAGTTGCACCTCGTTTAAATACATTCAGTTTTCTGTGTGACCTAGCACAGTTCAGAACAATGCACAGAGGCACAGGGTTGGCTGCATGCATGCACACATAACATGTATGTATGTCAGTACAAAATGAATTTTTTCAAGAATTTTGTTTTAATTCTGGATAGCCAAGCTTCATAATTTGTAGAAGGGAGTTACAAAACTTATCCCTGTGAAACACTGTTTCCACTTAAAAAGAAGAAGTGATGCCTGTGTTTTATAAAATATTTGATGCTGTTGTTTAGATGGGTTTGGAAGGATGTTAGAAGATGCTTTATTAATTTTTCTATTTGCACATGGAGAAATACATAGAAATAGTAGCAGCATGATGTGAGTCTCGTTTCTAATACAGCTTTGGTCTCTGTAGAACCTCTGTCTGGCTGGTAGACACCATCTGCTCCCCATGGCCACAGTATGGCCTTCAGCACAGCTCAGGTGCTTCCTGTGACTTGCACTCCTGCCTACGTACAGGTAGTCTCAGGCTGAGCTATAAGTGTGGTGACAAGGACTGGCATTCCAGTGCTGATGGTACCTGTGCTCATCACCAGGATGCAGCATTAGCCTCCTCAGGAGGAAAGAGAGGCTTCCCTTGAGTCCAGCCAGAGGTGAAATGCGACTCCTGTGTTTGTACAGCGTTGATGAGTTGTGATGTTGATAGTGCTAGCGTCTAGGCGCCACGTTGTTCTCTCCCAGGCAGGCGTAGATGGGAGACGTGAGAGAAAAAGGGAGGTGAATTTAGTTTTCTGTTTATTTTATTAGAGGATTCCCTCATCCCCAAAGCTCATGCTCTGAATTCGACGAATTCATGCTCTACCATTGCAGCAACTCTGTCTCCCAAGAGGTGGCTAGGCTGTCTTCTGAAGTTACTCCCTTTGCTCACCAGTGGAGGTACTGAAGGGGTGGGTTATTGTCACCTTCTCCCCATGGCTGAAAGTGAGCACATATTATTTTTAAAAATGCTCAGAGAATTTTGAGTTTCTAGGCCGAGAATATAGTAAACAATTTACTAAGAATAAAGTCAGGGTGTGCCCTGGAAAATGTGTTCCATCCTCCCTCATTTTCAGCAAGCTATAAGTAAACAGCATGGGATAATGCCATGATGAATAACGTAAGTTATCACGGGCTTCTGCCCAAGCAGACAAGGTTCATCTGCCTGGGAAACCCAAACATTCTCCATCTGTGTGCAAACCTCTCAGAAAAGGGGAGTTGCAAAAAAAAATTTCTTCTGAGAATTTGATTGTTTTAAATGATGCAGTCTGAAAATGCATGGTTGAAGGGAAAAAAATGGAAAGCAGTGGAAAACTGCCATGGAGAAATTACGTTCTTTTTAAAGGTGTGATTCTTCCATTTTTCTTCTCTTTGAATTACCTGGCCTCACGTGAACATTTCTACCACAGAGGTGTGGGAGGCAGAAAGCATTGCCAAATCAAGGCCCACCCCACCCTTGAGTTTATAGCATTACTGAAGCAAATAAGGTTTGTTTCTCAACAGAGGAATTGGGACAAGCACTGGGCAAACACGTGCTGTTGTTCAGCTTGTCGCATCACAGTCCCAGCTGTACAGATGTAAGTCAGTGCCCATGCTGGTGTCCACCCTCACGACAAGCAGAAGGAGGGAAAGGAGAAACAGGCCTAGAAGAGAGGGTGTTTAATCTTGAGCTGAGTGAGTGGCACATTTTTCCACTCTGGAAAAATGTTGGCATTTCCTGGGAGAGAAGTAAGGACAAAAAAGGCCAGTTAATTAGGAGAGGGGCTGGGGACAAGTGGCCAGCAGCCATGACACTATCAGTTATTTAACCTCAATATACAGAACACATAGTCAGCAGTATTAATTTAACATAAATACCATGAGCTGCAAACACCCAAAGAAAGACACAAAAGCCAACACAGAAACGTCTCAATTCCCTTGCCTTTCTTTGTCTGGAAAGACTGGCTGAGTGACTCGCTAAAATTCTACATATCTGATGTAGCTGCTCTTGTCCTTAGTGGCAAGCTGATGCCAGGTCTCTATCACTTTCTGGTTTCCTTTCTAAATCTCCTTAACTATGTTGTTATATTTCAGTTATTTTTTAGTTATTTTAGTTATATATTATATTAAGTTATTTTTCAGCATGTGTTCCTATGGTCTATTTTGTCATATTAGAAGTGGCCAGTGATTTAAGAGAAGAGCTATTTGTCTGTTAAGAGAATGTGAAAAATCCTGACATACCTGTTAGAAGCCCCTGGCTCTGCCAATACGTTTGCCAGTTTTGATGCAAACATGTACTCATTGCTAATTCGCTCTTTGTTGGTCCATCTCCAGAGCAGGGATGGTGCAGTGAAGTGTTCCCTGCCTGGGCACAGTTCTCAGCTTTTGCCATAGATCTGCTCCTGTGGCGTCTTGCTCCTCAGAGAGTCTCCAGCCCATGTGTCCCAACTGTAAGACCAGGCACAATTC